TCTACACACAGCAATATAAACAAAGGTGCCTGTTCTCTTTCGTTCTTGCTGTTTGATTGGGAAAAGTTTAAAGGGCGTCGAGGGGTCTTATCTTTATGTTATCTGACTAAAAACTAATACTTTGAACTTATATTATTACATTATTTATTTAAAAAACGTAGAGTGCCTTAAAAATAATTATCACAACACTGATAAAACAGGCGTATACTGATTTTCTCATCCTCTGATTTATACTTATCAATCCTGTTTTTATTATCATTATCATTCAAAACATTTATAAATTCAGAACAGGATTAGAATATAATTCTATTTTAAATAAGACAGAAATATTTTTTTCTACAACAACAACAGTAGTGTTTACAACAGCAAAACCACCATACCCTGTAAACTCAATAATAATAATAATAATAGGTCTAATATAATTCCGTTTCTAATTCCAGAGTGATTAAGAGGTGCAAAGAAACATTTCTTTAACTTTTAAACTTGGTCTAAAATGGTCTTAAATGGTCTTTTCTGTTCTGTGTTTCTTTTTCAAAACTGCGTCACAGCATTTTCTGCTTTCAATACAGAAGCATCTGTTTCGATACATGTCTCAGCAAGGAGCACAGCCCTATTAAAAGCTGTGCTCCATGTGCCCCTTTTATACTTTGAGCACCTGCCCCGCCAAAGGTCTCTGCACGGCCCTGGTTCTGTGTCTAAATAAACGTAATTCTTGTCAAGAAAAAAAGAGACAGAAGCAGCAGTTGTGAGTGGGGTGGCCCACACTAGCTCCTCCCCACATTAATTGCGTTAAATATTGTTCATGCATTAAACTGAAAAAATTAATCACATGAGTTAACGCATTCATTTTGACAGCACTACGTTTTAAATAAATTAATTCTTGATGAGCATAAGAAACAATAAAAAACTTATAAAAAAATCGTACTGATCTTAAACTTTTGAACGGTAGTGTAATTCTTCCCTTGTGTTATGTTATTCATCATAACTACTTTCATCTTCATTAATGTGGACTGTGCAAAAATGACAAATCGTCTTTCATGCACAGGGAAAAAAAAACTTTTATGAAAATAAGTCATCTGGAAAGAGGGTATTATATTAGTTTTTTTTCTCACTTCACTGACATGCCAAAACTGATGCCATTGCTTACATATTTGCTGATGTTATGTATTATATGTTTATAGGTGGTGTATTTGACAGCTACCAAGATGAGTAGAAAAACACTGATAATTGCAGTGTTAAGTTTAGGTCTGTAAATTACTTAACATACAAATTCTTTATTTCTCTTATTACTTATTTACATGTGAAAATTGCTCTAAAATTGCTCTGTACTTTGTTTTTTTAACAACAGTGTTTTGTAGCGCATCAGCTGATTCAGCAAACTCACCTACAACTGCAACAACTGAATCTATGACTGTTATATCATACTCAGCTGCACAAACGACACAATTCTGCTTACAACTGACACAACAGCACATAGAATACTGCTCAACAACAACTGAAACTCTGTTTACAACCACTGCCAAACCGACACAAACACCTGAATCAACAAACTCACCTATAACTGCAACAACTGAATCTACGACTGTTAGAGTAAACACACCTACAACTACATCTCAGCTTACAACTACAGCCCCTCCTACAGAAACAACAACACAACTTACATCTACGGCTGAACCAACAACCACGACTGTTTTAACATCTATAGCAGAACCAACAACCACAACTGTTTTAACATCTATAGCAGAACCAACAACCACAACTGTTTTAACATCTATAGCAGAACCAACAACCACAACTGTTTTAACATCTATAGCAGAACCAACAACCACAACTGTTTTAACATCTATAGCAGAACCAACAACCACAACTGTTTTAACATCTATAGCAGAACCAACAACCACAACTGTTTTAACATCTATAGCAGAACCAACAACCACAACTGTTTTAACATCTATAGCAGAACCAACAACCACAACTGTTTTAACATCTATAGCAGAACCAACAACCACAACTGTTTTAACATCTATAGCAGAACCAACAACCACAACTGTTTTAACATCTATAGCAGAACCAACAACCACAACTGTTTTAACATCTATAGCAGAACCAACAACCACAACTGTTTTAACATCTATAGCAGAACCAACAACCACAACTGTTTTAACATCTATAGCAGAACCAACAACCACAACTGTTTTAACATCTATAGCAGAACCAACAACCACAACTGTTTTAACATCTACAACAGAACAATCAACTACATCTGAACAAAGCACAACAACACAGACAGCAACAACATCCCTACCTACAACAAGTGCAGCTCAATCTACAACCCTGGTTACAACAAACTCACCTACAATTACATCTCAGCTTACAACTACAGCCCCTCCTACAGAAGTTACAACAAACTCACCTACAACTGCAACTCAGCTTACAACTACAACACCTCCTACAGAAACAACAACACAATTTACATCTACGGCAGAACCAAAAACCACAACTGTTTTAACATCTAAAACAGAACAATCAACTACATCTGAACAAAGCACAACAACACAGACAGCAACAACATCCCTACCTACAACAAGTGCAGCTCAATCTACAACCCTGGTTACAACAAACTCACCTACAACTACATCTCAGCTTACAACTACAGCCCTTCCTACAGAAACAACAACACAACTTACATATACAGCTGAACCAACAACCACAACTGTTTTAACATCTACGGCAGAACCAACAACCACAACTATTTTAACATCTACAACAGACCAATCAACTACATCTGAACAAAGCACCACAACACAGACAGCAACAACATCCCTACCTACAACAAGTACAGCTCAGTCTACAACCCTGGTTACAACAAACTCTCCTACAACTACATCTAAGTTTACAACTACAGCCCCTCCTACAGAAACAACAACACAATTTACATCTATAGCTGAACCAACAACCACAACTGTTTTAACATCTACAACTGAACCAACAACCACAACTGCTTCAAAATCTACAACAGAACAATCAACCACATCTGAACAAAGCACCACAACACAGACAGCAACAACATCCCTACCTACAACAAATACAGCTCAATCTACAACTGTGGTTACAACAAACATTGTTACATCAAGTCCAATTACACAAACGACACAATTCTGCACAAAAGTGACACAACAGCTGATACAATACTGCTCAGCAACAACTGAAACTCTGCTTACAACCACTGCCAAACCGACACAAACACCTGAATCAACAAACTCACCTACAACTGCAACAACTGAATCTACGACTGTTAGAGTAAACACAGCTACAACTACATCTCAGCTTACAACTACAGCCCCTCCTACAGAAACAACAACACAACTTACATCTACAGCTGAACCAACAACCACAACTCTTTTAACATCTACAGATGAACCAACAACTACAACTCTTTTAACATCTACAACAGAACAATCAACTACATCTGAACAAAGCACCACAACACAGACAGCAACAACATCCCTACCTACAACAAGTACAGCTCAGTCTACAACCCTGGTTACAACAAACTCACCTACAACTGCAACTCTGATTTCAACTACAGCCCCTCCTACAGAAACAACAACAACACAACTTACATCTTCGGCTGAACCAACAACCACAGCTGCTTCAACATCTACAACAGAACAATCAACTACATCTGAACAAAGCACAACAACACAGACAGCAACAACATCCCTACCTACAACAAGTACAGTTCAATCTACAACCCTGGTTTCAACAAACTCACCTACAACTACATCTCAGCTTACAACTACAGCCCCTCCTACAGAAACAACAACACAATTTACATCTACGGCTGAACCAACAACCACAACTGTTTTAACATCTACAACTGAACCAACAACCACAACTGTTTTAACATCTACAACAGAACAATCAACTACATCTGAACAAAGCACAACAACACAGACAGCAACAACATCCCTACCTACAACAAGTACAGCTCAATCTACAACCCTGGTTTCAACAAACTCTCCTACAACTACATCTAAGCTTACAACTACAGCCCCTCCTACAGAAACAACAACAACAACAACACAACTTACGTCTACAGCTGAACCAACAACCACAACCAAAGCTCAATCAACAACAACCTCAGACACAACCCAGACAGTTTTTGTTAGTTTTTCCAGCAGTGAAAATTTTGTCTCTGATCTGTCAAATCCAGCTTCAGAAGCATATAAAAACAGAGAAAAGAAAGTCAAAGATACGGTACGTTGCATGGCAAATATTTAAGGCATGCAGTTTGCACCGCAAGTTAAATAGTAACAAACTCTTTGCATTTGAATGTATTCACTATTTCATTTTGCACCCTAATGTAGATATTAGTGCAAACCAGTTTTCGGCTTGTTACTCAAAAAATTTAATATATTACTCATTACTTCAGTAGTTACTCCTTTCAAAAGTAATATTATGACTTCACCTATTACTCTCGGCTAGAAGTAATTAGTTACACTACTAGTGACATTACTTTTTCATTACATCCCCCAAAAATGTGTGATATTTTGCAGCCTGTGAATACATGAAAGTTACAGATATAAGTCTATTCTTAGTACCACTTCACAATTTACATGTGACTGATATTTTATCTCAAAAAATTAAAATAATGGCTGTATTTCCAGCCACTGTATGATGTGGGCTTCTCAATCTTCAGACTAAGCTAGCTTGCTGCATTGGTGACGTCATGAAACAATTATGAAAATTGAATGAATTTTTTAATTTCAAATCATTGGCAATTGTGACAAAAAAGTAACTAGCCATTTTTTTTTTTGGATGGTAACTGTAATATTTTTACTTACATTTTATCAGTAATTAGTTACACTACTAGTTACCAGGGAAAGAAATACTATAACAGTAATGCGTTACTAGTAACTAGTTACTGCCCAACACTGGTGCAAACTAACTGCACCCCACATCGGCAGTTGAACTGCCGATGCACTTTGCTTTTGGTAGTCATTTCTCAAGAGCAGCTCTGAATTAAAAAAATAAATAAAATAAATAAAAAGATATATCAATAACATCTGTGCAGCTTGCTCGGCCAATCATGTGAGCATAATTGGGTGAAGACAGGAAAAGACCTGTAGAAGTAACAAAAAAAAAAAATGCAGACAGTCAATATGGTGGATCAATGTGATAATAAAAGCATTAGTGTTGTAGTTTTTAAATTTATTTTAGTCTGTGGTTAATTCATAATCGATAACTAAATATTGAACCTGACACTGTCATCCTGTTTTCCACAGTTGACACCACTCTTTACAAAAGCATTGCCCTCCTTCAAAGGACTGGCAGTTATTCGGTTCCGGTGAGCATTTCTTCCCTTTAAATATGAATACATTTCATTTTCATTTTCGGAAAACAAAAGTCTTAGGTTTACAGAAAAATCTAGACAGCTATTTAAACATTTTTCTGCTTATTTGTACATGTAAGAAATACCAATTTTTGATGTCCAAACATTCCTTTGGGGTCACATGAAGTGACAGAGGCAACAAAATTTGCAAAAAGAATGTTTGTAAATCTAAAATTTTTATTTTTCTACTGGTTTGCCAAGGCAAAATATATAAATAATCATCTTAAAACAAATGTTTTTAATGAAGCATTTAATACACAGCATCTGAAAAGACTTAAAAGGTTAGTTCACCCAAAAATGAAAATTATGTCATTAATTACTCACCCTTGTTCCAAACCCGTAAGACCTTCGTTCATCTTTGGAACACAAATGAAGATATTTTTGATGAAATCTGAGAGCTCTGGCCCTCCGTAGACAGCAATGCAACGGCAATGTTCCCAGGTCCAGAAACGTAGCAAGGACATCTGTAAAATAATCCATGTGACATCAGGGGTTCAACCGCAATTTTACGAAGCTACGAGAATACTTTTTGTGCGCAAAGAATACAATAATGACATAATTTATTCAACAATTCTTCTCCCCGAGTTACCATCTTCCGCCATTTTGGAGATTACTCCAGAACGTAATCAACGTAAACAATGCTGATTACGTTGATTACGTTCTGGGGTAATCTCCAAAATCTAATATCGGAACCACTGATGTCACATGGATTATTTTACAGATGTCCTTGCTACGTTTCTGGACCTGGGAACATTGCAGTTGCATTGCTGTCAACGTAGGGTCAGAGAGCTCTCAGATTTAATAAAAAATATCTTAATTTGTGCTCTGAAGATGAACGAAGGTCTTACGGGTTTGGAATGACATGAGGGTGAGTAATTAATGACAGAATTTTCATTTTGGGGTGAACTATCCCTTCAATGCCACAAAAAATTACAGCAAACCAAAAATAGCTGCATAAACACTTCTTCCAAACGTGCTATAGCCTAAGTGGTTTCAGTATTAAGCCTTGCATTTAAAAAAAATGACAATGATTCTCTCTTCTCTTTCTCTTCTGTAGTCCGGGGTCAATCATCACTGATATGAATGTGACATTTGGAACCTTACCCAGTGATGCGGGGATCGAAAACACTATTATGGAAGCTAACGCCACTCTCAATATCACCAGTGTAACACGTAAGTCAAACAAAGAACCTCATCAGTATGTCATTCAAAAGAATTTACAGTGTTTTCTGTGTTAGTCTGTGTTGTTATTTAACTAAAACTGTTGCACTGCTTTTTTTTTATCTTGCTGGAGTTATTTTTCTCAACTTTTATTTTTATTTTTCATATTCTACAATACAACCAAACACACACAACAGTAAGGAAGCCCTTCACCACAACTACCAAAGCCACTACAACCAGTTCCACTACAACTACAACTACAACCACACCTACAACAACAGCAGCAGCAACAACAACAACCACAACATCTACAGCCAATCCTAAAACAACAGCATCAACAGCAACCACAACATCTACAGCCAATCCTAATACAACAGCAGCAAAAACAGCAACCACAACATCTACAGCCAAGCCTAAAACAACAGCAGCAAAAACAGCAACCACAAAATCTCTAACCAATCCTAATACAACAGCAGCAAAAACAGCAACCACAACATCTACAGCCAATCCTAATACAACAGCAGCAAAAACAGCAACCACAACATCTACAGCCAATCCTAATACAACAGCAGCAAAAACAGCAACCACAACATCTACAGCCAATCCTAATACAACAGCAGCAAAAACAGCAACCACAACATCTACAGCCAATCCTAAAACAACAGCAGCAAAAACAACAACAACAACCACAACATCTACAGCCAATCCTAATACAACAACAGCATCAACAGCAACCACAACATCTACAGCCAATCCTAAATCAACAGCAGCAAAAACAGCAACCACAACATCTACAGCCAATCCTAAAACAACAGCAGCAAAAACAACAACAACAGCCACAACATCTACAGCCAATCCTAATACAACAACAGCATCAACAGCAACCACAACATCTACAGCCAATCCTAAATCAACAGCAGCAAAAACAGCAACCACAACATCTACAGCCAATCCTAAAACAACAGCAGCAAAAACAACAACAACAGCAACAGCAACCACAACCACAACAAAAGCACCAGCACGTCCTCAGCCAACTGTTGAGATACAGATTGTCATTATAGTGGTGTTTGTTCCAGCACTGTCAAACCCTCAAACTCCAGAATTTAAAAGCCTTGCCACAAAAGTAGAGACTATGGTATGTGGCAGAACAATACAGTGATTTACAGAAGCAAAAGCATTTGCAAAGATACACATAATTATTATTATTTTTTTTTAATAATAGTAAAATTCTAAAGCAAAACTCTGAATTCAGTTTTGTACTTGCCTGAAAGGTTTGGGAAGGAAAAAAATAAACTTTTTTTTTTTTTTTAGCACTTTTTCAATTGTATAGTACTCTTAAAAAAACAGCATGATCTACTTCTATAAAAATGGAATTGTTTCATATAATATTAGGAAACATTCCTAAACCTGACTTACTGTTTTCACAGTTTGATGAAGTCTATAAGAAAAAGTTTGGGCCTCGTTTCATCAGGACCATCGTGATTGCTTTCATGTAAGTTAAAAGTTTGATTCATTACTTTAAATGATTACTTTGCTCATTTACACTCATGTTTTCAATGTTAATTTACACATCATGCCTTCAATGTCAGACAGTTTGTGTAATTTTTCATGTCGTAAAACTTAAATGTATGCATTTGACACACTTTTATCCAATGCAATTTACAGTGGATTCAATATAATATGTTTGATCAGTTTACACACTCCCTGGGCTAAAAGGGCTAAATACTCTTTTTATATATTGTCATATATTTATATAACTACACTCACTACTGTCAACAGCACAAAATCTGGCAAGATTTTCTCTCCTTTATAAAAGTTTATGTCTATTTAGCTTTCCTAACCGTTTACGTTATATTTTAAGTTGCACATTAAAAAAAAAACTGCTTTCTTCCATCTCTGCATCACAAACCAACACTCAGATCATATGCATGGATGTAAATATAAACTGTAAAACGTATCTTTTCTTTCCAGAGCTTTTTTCAGGACCCGGGAAGAATCAAACGTACAGGCAGAGGTTAAGTTAGTGTTTAGCGAAGAGTCCACTGAACCGATCCCCAGCAACACCGACATTGTGGAGACTCTAAAAGAAGCAGCGGCTAATTCAACTGCGGGCTTCAACCTTACCCTTGATGCCACCTCTATTACTGTCATTAGTAAGTTGATTTAGATCTGCCAGATTTCTAAGATTTTACAATGTTAACTTACCTAGAAAAGTTCTGTGCAACTACTTTTTCTTTAATTATCAATTACTTTTTTTTTTGTAGAATCAGTGCAGATAATTCCGCTGACAATCCTCACCAACGGAAACTTTGTGGCTGCTCTTTCAAATAAAAGTTCTACTGAATTTCAGAACAGGGCTTTGTTGATAAAAACAGGGGTGAGTGTGACGCGTCTACTTATGAATTATGGGAAACATGCTTTTACAAAAGAAAGCCAATTTTGACAAACAACTCTTGTTTTGCAGCTTGAACCTTTTTTCCTGGCTGATTACCCTACATCATTCAGCACCATATCCGTAACAAACTTCAGGTATGAATATGCTGGTGCTTTCTTGAATATAGCTACTGACTCAACATAACACAGTTTTCATTAATGAATCTTGATTCCAAACTCTCTCCAGTGATGCTGGTGTAAAATTAAGGAGTGTGCCCAAGATCCAAAACAGCATGGATGTTGTATTCGGAGCGGACGCCGTTCTACCCAATAGCACCCAGATAGTGAACACTGTAGTTCGAGCAGCCAGAAACAACACGCTACCCTTCCAGATCTTCACTTCTTCAATTATAATAAATGGAACAGGTGAGTGATTCACTTCAATCTTGCACTGCAGTGAAATATTTTGCATTCAGATGAGTAATATTTTTACTTAGGGGAACCGTCAGGGCCCTCTAGGCCCTCAGAGAGGGCTTAAACTATTGTAAAAACAATATTTACAATTTTTAAATAAATCCTTTAAAACGATAAACTTTTAAATATTATTTTAATAAAAAGTAATAATTTCAAACTTTATTTAATCAATTTATAATTTAACAATCATCATCTAAATAAAATAAATACAATTTCTGTGGAAATAAACTCTTCAAATCTGCATATTCAGTGAACGTGTTAAATGAACGACGCTCATTTTCTCCATATTTGAATGCTTCCTCCTAGCGTTTATGGCTCTGTGATTAGTGTTCCAGCTATGAAATTACAGCGGGCCAAGCAATAGTCAATCAGTCGGAGCGAAATTTCAAGTGACAGAAAAACTGACCAATCATATCTTTTCTCTAAATGGGCGGGCCTTGTTATCACTAACTTTATGACAAGTTCCGCCCGCTATTAAATATTATTTTAATAAAAAGTCATAATTTCAAACTTTATTTAATCAATTTATAATTTAACAATCATCATCTAAATAAAATAAATAAAATTTCTGTGGAAATAAACTCTTCAAATCTGCATATTCAGTGAATGTGTTAAATGAACGACGCTCAGTTTCTCCATATTTGAATGCTTCCTCCTAGCGTTTATGGCTCTGTGATTAGTGTTCCAGCTATGAAATTACAGCGGGCCAAGCAATAGTCAATCAGTCGGAGCGAAATTTCAAGTGACAGAAAAACTGACCAATCATATCTTTTCTCTAAATGGGCGGGCCTTGTTATCACTAACTTTATGACAAGTTCCGCCCGCTATTGGATCTGTATTGGAAAAAAATAATATATTGACCTAAGTAGCTATCATTCACGTCACGATGTAAGCTGCAAATTACATAAGTGAGGACATTTACTGGGCCGCTGTGCCAGTAATAATATTATTTATTATAAACACTGCTTGTTTGTCATGAAGTGTCTGTCCTTAATTTGTTTTGCTGTGAGCGCTGTCATGATGTGCTGTCTTACATTAAACATTACATTTGTTGGTTTTGTGCACAGACCGATTGTGTGATGATGCATTTGTAATGAGGATTTTCATTTGACTTAAATTTAGCTATGTTTTATTAAGGTGATATCAGTCTTTTTTCAGATCACTCAGTTTTCTTGTTGCATTTCTGAAAGGCAGTCGCACACCTTTAAACTTTTAATCTATTTTCCAAACAGTCAAAAGTTCACTTAAAGAATGAGCAAATGGTGTCAATAAGTTTGAAGTTCAGTGATTGAAATAACAGCAAACGGAATGAATAAATACAATTTCTGTGGAAATAAACTCTTCAAATCTGCATATTCAGTGAACGTGTTAAATGAACGACGCTCATTTTCTCCATATTTGAATGCTTCCTCCTAGCGTTTATGGCTCTGTGATTAGTGTTCCAGCTATGAAATTACAGCGGGCCAAGCAATAGTCAATCAGTCGGAGCGAAATTTCAAGTGACAGAAAAACTGACCAATCATATCTTTTCTCTAAATGGGCGGGCCTTGTTATCACTAACTTTATGACAAGTTCCGCCCGCTATTGGATCTGTATTGGAAAAAAATAATATATTGACCTAAGTAGCTATCATTCACGTCACGATGTAAGCTGCAAATTACATAAGTGAGGACATTTACTGGGCCGCTGTGCCAGTAATAATATTATTTATTATAAACACTGCTTGTTTGTCATGAAGTGTCTGTCCTTAATTTGTTTTGCTGTGAGCGCTGTCATGATGTGCTGTCTTACATTAAACATTACATTTGTTGGTTTTGTGCACAGACCGATTGTGTGATGATGCATTTGTAATGAGGATTTTCATTTGACTTAAATTTAGCTATGTTTTATTAAGGTGATATCAGTCTTTTTTCAGATCACTCAGTTTTCTTGTTGCATTTCTGAAAGGCAGTCGCACACCTTTAAACTTTTAATCTATTTTCCAAACAGTCAAAAGTTCACTTAAAGAATGAGCAAATGGTGTCAATAAGTTTGAAGTTCAGTGATTGAAATAACAGCAAACGGAATGACAAAGTGTGATCTATTGCAGTCTATAGTCTAGGAGGCCCTCCTGCTTACATGAAGCACAGCCTTTATTAGTGCCACAGAAAGACAAACGTTTCACTGAAAAATGCACAAGACACAATCTTCCAGCCTAGGATGAAGTCGTTATATACATTAACAATAATTTAGAACAAATATGATGTACTTTAATGGAAAACTATATGAGTAGTGCTCTGTGGCGCGGCAGGATTTTGAACAGTGCCCAGAGTCAAAGCTGATATCCGTGGACAGTCGCCGGTGTCCGTACGCTCATAGAAAACGTCTCCAGGTTACGCATGTAACCCTAGTTCCCAGAGGGAACGAGACGCTGCGTCGAAACGCTATGGGAACGCACCTTCAGCGTGACCACGCTCTGAATCACGTGAGTAATCAGTCCAATGGATGGGCGAGACGTTACGGGCGGGGTGACCAGGACGCTTAAAAGCACGTGCGGTGGAACCGGCTTCGAGGAATGAAGCAAGCGCTCGCAGGGATGTATGGTATGGCACTCAAGTATGGCACTGAGATGCAGCGTCTCGTTCCCTCTGGGAACTAGGGTTACATGCGTAACCTGAAGACATTTTCTTTCAGGAACTCGAGCTGCTTCAAAACGCTATGGGAACGAGAATGCCCACGCCGTCAGACTTACAAATCCCTGCCTAGTGTGGAAGAGCACAGCTAAAGCGAGAGAAAGGAGGCAGGAGTGGCGCAGAATGCAGGTAGGCACATGACAAAGTAGGCGGGGACATCCTGCCCAAAGGCCAACTTCAGAAGGAGTGAGCCTTGACCCCCAAAGGAGAGGGGAGATCAGAGGACTCGAGGCTATGAAATAGTATCCTGATCCATCGCTTAGCATAAGCTTCTCTGGCCGGAGGCCTCAGTCTCAGCGCACCGCGGAGGAAACGTTTAACCAGGGGGTGTCTGCCCACTGACTGGCCACCGAGAGGGGTGTGGTAGGCAGCAATGGCCGCCACGTAGACCTTAAAGGTGGAGTGGGTCAACCCTGCAGAGAATCAGGCCTGCAGGAACTCCAGCACTGAACCAACTGGGCAGTTAACTGGGTCGAGCTGGTGGTCTCCGCACCAAGAAGTGGAGAGCTTCCACTTCAAGGCGTACAGTTTCCTCGTAGAGGGAGCTCTAGATTGGAGGATGGTCTAAACAACCTCAGTTGACAGACCGGAAGCTACGAGTTGTGCCCCCTCAGAGGCCACACCCACAGCTTCCACAGCTCCGGCCAGGGGTGAAAGATCGTACCACCGCCTGTGAGAGGAGATCCCTCCTGATGGAAATCTCCCATGGAGAGCCGTCGAGAATGCAGATCTACCTGGTGGTTGATATAAGAGACCACCGCTGTGTTGTTGGTGCGCACCAACAGATGGCGATCTCTTAGGTCTGGGAGAAAGTGTTTCAATGCTAGAAACACGGCCAGCATCTCCAGGCAGTTGATGTGCCACGTGAGATGGCGACCGGTCCACAGACCGCGGGCTGAGCGGCCACTCATGACCGCTCCCCAACCGGTGAGGGAAGCGTCCGTCGCTAGCATTACGCGGCGACAAGGAGCTCGTAGCACTGGCCCCTGAGACAAGAACCAAGGTTTCCTCCACATGTCTAAGGCACGTAGGCAGCGCTGCGTGACTTTGAGCATACAGAGCGGGTTTCCCCTTGGGGAGAACCCCTTGGTCTTGAGCTACCACTTTAGGGGTCTCATGTACAGCAGGCCAAAAGGTATCACGTTGGACGCAGCTGCCATCAAACCCAGCAGTTTCTGGAACTGCTTGACAGTGAGTGACCGGACTTCTCTCACTCTCATGACTGCAGTGAGGATCGACTCGATCCGAGCAGGAGACAGACATGCCTGCATCATGGTCGAATCCCACACCACGCCCAGATAAGTGGTCCTCTGTAATGGAGAATGCACACTTTTCTTGGCGTTAAGTCTTAACCCCAGCTCTTTCATGTGAGCTAGAACGACATCTCGATGCCGAACCGTCATCAAATTGAGCTAATATCAACCAATCGTCGATGTGGTTGAGTATGCGGATGCCCCGGAGACACAGAGGAGCCAGAGCAGCATCCACACACTTCATGAAAGTGTGGGGTGAGAGTGCAAGGCCGAAGGGAAGAACCCGATATTGGTAGGATTTTTGCCCCCGAAAGCCAACCTCAGGAACCTCCTGTGATGGGGAAGGATGGAGATAGGCCGAGCTCTAGGAGTGGAGGCCTCAGCATAACGACTCTCTAAAGCGAGAGGAGGCCTCTACACCCCACTCTAGCCTGCCTAGTGGAGCTCTGGCGAGCAGAGGCCTCAGAAACTCTCTGTAGCGAGAGGAGGCCTGACGACACTCGCAGAAAAATGGCCGCTCTTGGAGCGGAGGCCTCAGCATGACAACTCTCTAAATTCTCTCGCAACCCTCCATCCATAGAGACCTCCGAAGAGGTAGCGAGCCTCTTAGTACCGCTACGTTTCCGGGCGGTGACTGAGAGAAGCGCTCACCGGAGACCGCTGCGCCCTGAAGCACCATAGGTGGCAGGGTTGGCAGAACGATCTCCTGAGGCCACTGAGGAGAGATGGGCACCGTATAATGAGGTGTACACCGCTCTTCCCCAGAGGGGGTCGGCCCTCAGAAGTCCTGGGCCTTAGGC